GATGGCTCCCGCTGCAGCCTTACTAGAACTGATGGGACATATTTGCCATCCCAGCTTTCCAAAACTGCTTCAATATTACCACCATGACACATCATCTATGTTGGTGTGGGAGCCAACTGAAGTGTCAGTCGATCACATTCTAGCCTCCAGCTGCTCGATCACCGCTGATGAGATTGTTAGCATTGTCAGACCGGTATGTCAAACCATGCTTTGGGATCATTCCCCACTAATCCAGAAAAGGTACTAGAAGGCATTCAATATCTACGCGAGCTCGGAAGAGCACTCGCTACCCTGGGCCCGGATACGATCCTGCTTACACAGTCTGGTGATGTTAAGATTAGTGAGATACCCCCTGGCCAAGTGAATGTCGTTCGATAAGAGACTGACGCTCACTAGGGGGCGCTGAGAGTAGCTGTCAAATCAGTCAGTCGGAAATGAATTCCGCCACGATGAAGTTATGCGCTCTGGCCGATATCGTCACCAAGTTGATGTTAAAGAATCGTACCTACGTGTGGGAACAGGAGATCCAAAATTTACCTCGGCAGCTGGAAAGTGTCTCCATTGAGGAACTATTGCAGGTATGTTCATCCCAATGCACATCATGCCCTCAGCTAATGTGGCAGAATGAGATATTCACCCGAACGTCCAGCGAAGGGGAGTTGAAGTTGTTGGTCAGTATAGCGAACAAGACTGCATATCACGGTATCAAAACTTACTATGCTCGTTGTTGAGCTACAACGCACTGAATCGGGGCTGGCTCTTTGCGTGGAGGCATCACATGTCGAGAAAAGGTCGCAATTCCGTGTTTCCTGCTGGCTGGTTGATGAAAGATACTAAAGAAAAAGGTAGCACACGGTATAGCAGGAGATGGCCTGTTCCGGCATACTGAATTTTGGAATTGTTTCACAGATTCCCACTCAATAATTGTTGTTTTTGATTTCTATTCCTCATCAGATATTTAGTCTCTGTTCCTAATCGCTGTCATGCTTCGTTCACTAGAATCAGACTTGATGTAGCACGTGCAGTCTATTCCCATGATTTAATTTTGAACACAGTTGACCCGCTATGATCTGTTTACTGCATGGCGGCAAAAGCCCACCGCCCACCAAGCTCATTTACAAGGCTAAGTGCCATGATAAACACAGCAGCTAGGATGTGGCCCAGTAGCGATACCAGTGGTATCGTATCTACATATAGCGTCCTGGTCATTGACTCGAGTGTGGCCATTTGTACAATTCCCAGTGCATACCGGTTTGTCCTTTTACGGTCAATTTCTGCTGTCGCCGGTAACTTGAACAATACTTCCGAGACAAGAAGGCGAATGTCTACATGTTCTCTGGCAGCGCTACCATCTACTCTGGCGAGTAACACAGCAGAGAATGCAAGCAACTCTATGGGCGTGTTCTCGGTCAAATTGATGGTGACTCATTCGCCAGTGAAGGGCGCGCATTTCATGTAGATCTCACAATTACCAACACGGTTAAACCAAGCGCAGAGCGAGGCGCAATTCCGGGCTGAAATTCGGACAGCTAAAGGCCGATGGAGTGGATTACTCCTTTTCTTAGCGCCAATGTGCAGTTGAAATCGAAGGTTACTTGAACCGTTGAGACCCCTCAGGATTTTTGTCATCACAAAAGTACCGGCCAGCTTAATTCCGTTGTCCTCCTGCTCAAAATAGTGCTGCAGAAGTTCACGATGCGTAATTTGCCTCGGGCCTGTTTGATTGCATTGTTTAAATGAGCGAAGTGGTGAACCGATAAAAACCTTGAAGTTGACTGAAACGAAGTGGAAGACCTCGATCAACTTGGTTGCGATGATTCACCGTTCCTTGCATGGTGTGGCATGAGATCAACGACGAAGCGGATAGAAATGGCTTTCTGTGACAAGAACAAAGCTACTAATCTACTGTTCTTGCCCTACGTTCCCTTAAGAATGCAGGGC